AGGGGCCGACGCAGCTGAGGAGGAGGCGCGCCCGAGCGCAGAGCGCGCGGAGGGAGGGTGTGTCGGCGGTGTCGGCGGCGAGGATGGGGAGTTCCGGCGGGGGGTTGGGGTGGGCCGCCCATTTGAGGGTTTGGGCCAATTTGGATGGGTCGCGGCCCGCTATTGCGAGGGAGTTGAAATTGAGAGAGGGGAGGAATTTGAGGGCTTCTCTGAGGACGTGTTTGCCGGTGAAACCTGAAGCACCGAAGATGACGATGTCGAACTTTGGCTTCGTTGATGCCACTTCCATCATTTTCCTTCTCACTTACCTTACTCTTTCTTTCTATCCTGCTTTTCTATTGAGATGTGATTGTATGCTACTAACACTTTCTTTAACAAACTTTTCTCAATGCATTTTTTTATTAGTTTAAGTTTTTCTTTTTAATTATAAAAAATAAAAAAGGAATTCATTTAATAGGATATAAGATTCATAAATGTCGACTAATTCAAGATAGTGTTTTCTCAAAAAATGTGTTCTTACTTCTTAGCATTTGTTTATGTTATTTATCATTTTTTTTCAACTTTGAATTCCAGTGACATCTTTTTCTTTTTTCACAACTCACCTCCTTTAGTTGTTTAAAAATATTGCATTATTTATACATCACATTCACTTTACTTGATTATTTCAAAAACATTTCAATCTGACCATCTTATAATTGTTAAAAAAAGCATAAGAGAATCTCGTCCTATAAATATATATTAGTCTTTGATTATTAACTTTATTTGATTATTAATTTTATGTAATTTTATAAAATTTTGGAAGATATTAATGTAATTTTATTTGACTCATTAATTTATGGTATTACCTATGGTCCTAATTATAAGTAATAGAGAACAAATTAATAAAATTTTAAAAAATAATTACTATAATTATTTTTAATTAATAATATCATAAATTTAAATTTTATTTCAAATATATTATTTATTTTAGGTGGTTGATATAGTTAATGTTAATTATAAGTAAATATATAAGAAATTGAGTTAAGGTATAAAACAAATTTAACTCAAAATACTTCTTCTATTTTTTTTAGTTTGACGTTTAAGATTTATGCACAAGAATTAAGAAAATGATTGATATTTTAGTTTTTAAAAGTATTTATTACTTATGTTCCTGTTATACTCTTTAGGTGGTTGATGAAGAAATAGATACATTGGAAATAAATAAACACATTTTCAGTAAACACACATTAATTATCAAGGGTAAAAATGAAAAAGAAAATTAATAAATAATTGATTTTAGAAAAATGACAATGAAAAAAGAACAAAAAAAAATAGTATCAAAACGACTATGAAAAAAAATAGAGGGAGTAATTTTAAAAACTAATGATTGTTGTTTATAATTAAGGATAAAAAAAATTGATTTGTTGCTTATGATTAAGACCAAAAGTATTATTTTATATCAACAAAATCCATGAGTTCCTAAATAGTTAGGTCTTTAAACATTTTGCTAACAAGGGTTTGATTTTTAAAGAAATTTTTGTTTAAAGAAACAAAATGCCAAAATGCTACCTCTCAAGAGCAATTAGTTTTCCATTATTGATCAAGGATACTCCTAATGCACAAAATATTCTAAAATGGTATCAAAACTTATACTAAATCTATCATAAAAAATAAAAAAAAGGTTGTCTAGTATTGTTTCAGGTATCAAGTCAAACAGTACTAAGCATGAGATATGTATCGTGAAAAATTCAAATCACATCAATCAAAGATATGAATTATGAATGATTAAAATAAAGTATATACATGAAAAATAATTCTTGTCTTAAAGATAGCTTTGTAACATTACAATAGGCTTCAAATCAGTATTATAAAAATCAAATTGGTCTAGACAGTAGTTTGATGGTTTAAAGGTTGAATTAAAAAAGTCATTTATTAAACTAGTAAAAATGGTTTCTTTTAAAAAATTAATATAGTTAACAAAATTTAATATAAAAATAAAATTTATGTAAAATATAACATGTAGTGGTTGTTTAGTATAATGACATGTGTTTTATTTTATTATGGAGGGATAAGGTTTGGAATGTGCTTGGAAACAAAGAGCTTAGTTATAATTTTTATTATTTAATAAAATTGTATATGTATAATAAATTTGTAAGAAATGACATCAAATTGATAACTAGCCTAGTGGTGAGTTTTTTCTTACTAGTGGGGGACAAGGTTTGAGTCCTTTTTTAGTACCAATACAATTCAATTTAAAAATTTATTATTTTAAAACCAGTTTCTAATCTAGATCAGCTCACTAGGTTGTTGACTTTTCAAGTAAAATTTGGTTGGTTCGATCTAGTTTTAACATTTATGTTATACATTTTCGTATTTGCACACATGACCACTCATGTTTCTGATAAAAGGAAAGGAGGAGATGGTGTATGATCTTAGTCTGAAATGATTAACATGGAAGGGCTTAGCTATTTTTTAGGCTTGAAATTGTAACACCTATGGAAGCAAATGTAAAACTTGAGAAAGGCAATAAAGAGAGTTTTGATGGTACTCTATTAAAACATGTTGTAAGGTATTTAAGCTATTTGTGCAACAATTCATGGATGATCCAACGAAATCTCATTTGCATGTTGCAAAAAGGATTATGAGATACCTATAAGGAACTTTGGAGTATGGAGTTTTGTTTCCAAACAAGGAGCAATATCAAGGAAATATGCTTGTGGGTTGTTCTAACTAAAATTAGTGTGGGAACAAGGTTGATAGGAGAAGTACATTTGATTATGTTTTTAAGTTTCTAAATGCACTAATCTCTTGTTGCTTAAAGAAAGAATGTGCAATCGTTAAATTATTTTAATTATAGTTGGATTAGCATTGTAATGCCCTGCCATGACCGTTACACTACAGGATAACACAACACACTACTTGAATATATATTAAATAGTATAATAAAAATATTTACAACACAAGTTACTAAGCAAGCAACTAAAAACATCCAACTATAAATAGCAAAATATGCTAATATAAGATAGCCTATAAAAGGAACATTCACTCTAAGCACCTCATGTGGCCTTTAGCAGCTATCTCCTAGCTTATCCCTACCCTACTCCTATACATCGTATAATCATCGCAGTCACCACATGGAAACATGCAAGGGTAAGCTAGAGAAAATAAACAACATAATATCAACACATCCACACATATGTTTAAAATATGTAACACAAACTACTATACAACTCATCATAATAGTCACCATATTCAACACAACAACAAACAACACATATACTACACATCTCAACATCATTTCAACTTAATTCAACACATCAACACTAATCAACATAGTATCAACACATCCACACATATGTTTAAAATATGTAACACAAACTACTATACAACTCATCATAATAGTCACCATATTCAACACAACAACAAACAACACATATTACACACCTCTCAACAACACATATATTTAAAAGCAACTTACAACATAGGTAATCTAACAATGCTATCATCATCATTAACTTGTTCAACATACAACACACAATACATAAACAACACCTTCACAGCACATCAACATATACACTCATATCATCACAATATCAACTCATTAACACATATGCGTTGTCACGTACTTTAACTCGGAGATCTCCTACAACACAGGTAAGCAATTTAAGTAGCTAGGTCCTATCGAACTGACAACACAAAACCTTTTTGGGCTTGCTAGCTAGGTAAACAACAAATTTGGATAAAAATTCACAACATGATAATAGTTTCTCAGACTTTACCACTTAAACAAGGAAGTATAATACTATGTCAGGATATGACAATTGGGTTTAGGCATACCATGACATTAGCTAGCTCAATTAAGTCACTTATGAGATTAACCTACTGACTATCCTCCAAATACTACAACCCTTCGATACTTGGTTAGAAACTAAGTTCCCGACTTCATACTTTACTCTAATTGACTACTTGTAATCGGTGTAGCTTGACCTGACCCTTATACCGTGGTCGCTTTATACACATGTACCTCGACCTTGCCCACACACGGAACCAACTTAGTCCTACAGGAGAACAACATATCATCCACTCCAAGGGACAACTTCTCAAGGATGGTTTTTCAACAAATTGGGCTCTTAGAGCACCACAACTATCTCAATCCGCATAATAGAATGAGCAACTTCGAAAATATCTCTCCTAGTTCTAGTGATCAACAACTCATCGTCATAGCAAAACAAAACAGTTATCATCTCCTCATCTCAACTATCAACTCATTTCAACTTTAAACAACACAGTCAACTCAACAGCTCAACTCACAACTTACAGCTCAATCATCACAAAGTAGCATCTTTTCAACACATAGTACAACAACATACAACTTTATAACAACATACAACTCTCATCTAACAACTTAATAACACAGTCCACTAACAACTTTTGGATCATCTCAACACACTTCACATCATATTTCTCACAACTCGCAACATTATCATCATGCACTTCACAACTCTTAACTAGATCATCTCATCATATTTCACAACATATAAATAGTCAACACACAACTTATAAACAACTTCAACAACATACCACATATTTAACATATTTTTATTTATCACAATAACTCACTCACCGCATAACTCTTCAACTCATTTCGCACCTCTACACAACTACATAACTTCACAACTCAACTACAACATGCATCTCACATCTCACTACTGAGTATCCTCATCATACTACACAACATCATCTTTCAACACACAACACATCAACCCATGATATGTAATCATCTCTAACCACTTACAACATTCACAACACATAATAGCTACTTATACATCTCGTTTACATCTCATCTTCATCACAAA